TCACACACACACACACACACACACTGTACACAAACACTTCTCCAGGATTCATGCGCTCCAGTCAGAACACAGAGACTTGATTAGTATTAATCCTTATCTCTAAAATGGACACCTTCTCCGTTATGTTTCCTCCTCGGCTGGCTAATTTCATGAAGAGCGTAATTACAGCATTTTCATTTTCAGCCCTTTGCATAGTTATGAGGCAAGCTTTCTATCTTTGTGCCACAGCTGAAGGGGCTGTGTAGTGGTGGTGGGTCGGTGGGAGGGTGTATCTATGTGTCCAGGAGTGCTTATGGATGTGTGAATGTGTTTTTCAGGCTAAAGTGAGAAGAATTAGGGGGTGAATACAACCAGTAATTTGATGCCACATCCAAATTGGAAAAGCAGCTGAAATCATAGCAACTGTGTGAACCTCATTGTGGACAGTTCCTCGTGTGCAAATAGAGTTGATTTACTAACAAAGGAAAGTGAAAATGGGACTGCATACATTTCAGAGCTTTTATGCTCATGCCTGGTGCAGAATGTTCTCAATAACAGTATGATATCCAGTAATCTGATTTAACTGGCGTCTGTCTGGTTTGCATGTTCCTGCAGTAGGAGGATGAATGGCATGTTGGCTCAGATTAGAGCAGCCAAACTGGCATTGTGTGTGTGTGGGTGTATTCATGCCTGAGCTTTGGTCACTCTCCAAATCAGAGCTGCCCCCAGTCAGTAGCCATGTTCCCTTCTAGAATCTTCTTTGCATCTGTCTTTATGTCTTCCTCTTCCCGTTGTTGTCTTCGATTTTAAGGCTCCCTCAAACACTCAGTAACCAGATGCTTCATGTATCTTTGTGCATTTTGTGCATAAGCACCTTTCAAGAAATCAACAATTTTCTGTCAGCTTTGATAATAATTTACAGCCTCAGGCACCATAATATTTTGTCACACGTCTCCAGCCCAGCAAGCCGAAGCTCCCGGTGCCGTTGTTAATGTTCAGTGTCCTCAAAGATAGTCTAGTGTGGACAAGTGCTGGATTCCATTGATGCGTTCGGTACTTCACAACTTTTGATTCAAACAGAACAGCAGCTCAGGCACTGAATAGACTAACAGATGGGGATTAATTTAGACTAGATTAAAAAAGAATGTGCTGATGTTCAAGTTGAATGTATACTTTGCAATCACAGCAGGTGAAGATGAGATGGACAAAAAAGTGAGTCAAATGAAATCTGTTGAAAGA